CCTCCTCTCTCCCCCCCCCCCCCCCCCCCACTAAATGTTTGTTGCTGACCACATCTCCCTCAGAAAGATCCTGGAAAAAATGGCTTGGGTTTGGCAGTAAAGTGCATGTATACTTTCAATTGCAATATGTTGCAGCTTACCAGTCCTTAGATGTTGTGGCTGCTTTAATTTTCCTCCCTTTTTTTTTTTTTAATAAGAACATTTCTGCAAGTACAGGAGATACCAGATGAACTTACCAGAAAGGCAGAGTCCTTGTGGTTTTCTAACTAATTTATCAAACAATGTTATCTTTCTTTTAAAGGTTCTTCTACTAAATAACCCCCCCTCCAGGTACTAGGCATGTTGAGAGGAAGACATGTTTGTAGTTCTGTCCTAGAGTGACAATCATAGCTCCCTCCATAGATACAATGAGTGAGTGAATTCAATGCACTACGGCGACCTGGAAGCATTCTGTATTCAGTTGGTGTACGGAATGCCCTGAGAATACATCATTTCTGCTTGTGTGATTGGTTCACAGACTTTCTCCAAAGTCTGTACCGAGATACAATTAGGCCCCATTCACACACGAATGGGCCTGCATGTACAGCTGCGTGCGGGGCTGTACCAAGCAGCTGCCTGGAAGGACCGTTGCTGCGTGTGATTAGTACGCAGCCCCCATCCTTCTCTATGGGGCTACACGGCCGTACACCACCCTACGCTGGCCGCCCTGCACGTCCGTAGGGGTATGGGTGAGCGTATTCATACGCCGCCCGAATGGATCCTGTATGCGTCCCGGCCAGAAAACCCGCACCCCTACGGACCTGCAGTTGAGGTGAGCGTACGGCCGCGTAGCCCCATTAGAGAAGGACAGGGGCTGCGTACTAATCACACGCAGCACCTGTCCTTCCCAGCAGCTGCTTGGTATGGCCCCGCACGCAGCACGAGCTGTACGTGCAGGCCGATTCGTGTGTGTGAATGGGGCCTTAAACATTGAAGCGTTGACCCTGTTGTTCAAGAATCAATCTGGAAAAGACACCGTAAAACAGCTATTTCTTCAGAACAGAAAAGTTCGAAATCTTCAACAAAATAAATCACCTATCTGAGAAGACTTGGTAGGTGCCTCGGGTGAGGCAAGGAAGGACCTGAGGAGTTCTCATGAATCGAATGTACAATTTAGATCCAGGCAAATATAGCATCTATCAGTCATCGATTGTATATTTGTCTGGATCTAATTTGGACATTCGATTTTACAAGAACTCATCAGGTCCAATTTTATATGTTGGTCTGGATCTACACACCCCTGTAACATGCCAGGTTTTTAAGATGTAAACAAATCAGACCAAGATAAATCACTTCTGACATTTTCCACCTTCAATGTGACCTATGTGAGCAATTCAATTAAAAACAAACAGATTGTTCAGTGTGGGAAATAAAATAAGGTGGCTACATAAGTGTAAACACCCTCTTATAATTAGGGATGTGGCTCTGTTCATAAATTAACCAATCCTATTCCAGCTGATGTTAAATAGTCAGTACACACCTGCCATCAATTGAAGTGACTGTAGAAGCCCATAGAAAGTTAAGCTGTTCTAGTTGGATTTTTCTGACTTTTTTACTCAGTTGCCTCTGACAGCAAATGCCATGGCCCGCAAAGAGCTTTCAAAGCAGGATCTTGTTGGAAGGCATCAGGCAGGAGAAGGGTACAACATATTTCTCCAAGGCATTAGATATACCATGGAACACAGTGAAGACCGTTGTCAAGTGGACAGAATATGGCACAATAGTGACATTACCAAGAACTGGATGTTCCTCCAAAATTGCTGAAAAACAAGAAAACTGGTCCGAGAGGCTGGCAAGAGGCCTAGAACGGCAACGTTAAAGTAGCTGCAGGAGGTTTCTGGCAAGTACTGGTTGTGTACTACATGTGACAACAATCTCCCGTATCCTTCATATGCCTGGGCTGTGGCGTAGGTTGTTAAGCCACTATATCTGACTAAAATGATGATGAGTCTCTGAAGAGTTGGAATATATCCAGTTGCTGACGTGTAGTTGTGGAATCTTCCATGTAGCCAAGCTCCTAGCCTGTTCCCCAGCCTAAAACAATAAATGTTCTTCATTGTGTCTGCTCAACTGCACTGAGAAAGCTCTCCCTTTTCCTTCTACATAAAATATGAATGATAGCAGTGACATGTTTACTTAGGTTGTCCTGTATTTAGTGGCCTAGTTGGCTCCTCCATAGCATATTTTATGCTGAATCTAGTCCAGGGTTTTGCTCTTCACTGTGACTTAGATTTGGTGGCATCACGTGCTCGGGTTATCAGGTGCTGTAATGTGACCTCACATGATGCTGCAGTGTGAAGTGAAGAGAGAGGCTTCTCCAGAGATTAGGGTGGAAGGAAGGTCCTTAGGAGAGGATTACCTCTTCTCTCCAAGTGTCAGCTGGTAGTCTGGTGCTTAAGCAATAAATGGCTGAGGACCTGGGCTTTCATAGCGATAAAATGTGATGACAAATCAGAAACTAAACAGGCTGATAGCAAGGCCGGATGAGGCCTTT